TAAAGTGTGTGTTAACAGTTGCCCTTGTCTTCAGACCACAGAGCCTACAGTAAGCTGGAGGCAGTAACAGGATACAGAGGTGCTCCACATTCATTCATACAAATAACCTTTCTTAATTCCAAAAAGGATTACACGTCCTAATAAGCTGTTGTGACAGCTTGTATTGTTGGCAGAGGGAGGAGGGAGTTCAAAGGTCAAATAGTTGAATCTTCATCAGATCAGAGTCAGATCTAGAGGGGTGATGTGTCTCTGAAGGTTGTTCACTGAATCTGCTGTGATCAATAAAGACACTACTATAAGGATGACTCAGCAGTGCAGGCACAACAAGCTCAATTCACTCAGGGATACAAGACATTGGAGCATTACTGACAAACAAGGTAATGCAGAACGGAAACAATTAGTCGATTGACAGAAATGTAATCTGCTACTTTTTTTGTCAGCCAGTTATTGCTTAAGAACAACAAAACATGTTGTTTGAATTTGTCCGATAGTTATATATCCGGCAACAACAAGGACTCAATTCATCGCTCAAAAATGTTGCCAAGTTATTCAGTCAGGAAAATAATCCTTAGTCTCAGTCCTACTGTAATATATTGAGGTCATTGAGAAAAAGTCTCAATTATGGAAACATATGACCAAACGCAGCCAAAGTTGCACTGAGATAGGAACAAAGGTTTGCATAGATCCTCATCAAAAATGAGTGAAACATACGACTGGGATTTGCTTAACAATAATACAAACTGTGGCCTTAAAAGATAAAAAAAAACACATCTGACGAGCATTATGAGCTTAAAGAAATGGATGCTGCGATGTGCTGGAAGGTGTATGATTTTGTCGACCTCTGTATATTTAGGCTCTTTCTATCAAGCATCTAAAAAGTGACTTTCAAATAGTTTGATAAGATTTTACAAGTCAGCTCTTCCCTGTGGGTTCTTCATTGTAGAGCTGAGAAGAGCTTTCCCCAAATGAAAACACCCCATTCCTCAAAACACTAACTACTGTGTGTGCGTGTGTGTTCCCAAAGGACAACAACGCACCATTTTCTGATCAAAAGTAAGCCAATTTGGAACAAAATACTCAAGACAACTCTGAACTATATTCTTATTGTTGACTTACTTTATGTAGGGAGGAGGTCGAATTACTCATACCTTCATGCTATACTCTTACTTCTCAAAACACAAAGCAAAACTTACATGGTACAGACAAGTTAGCTTTTTAAAACTGTTTTTGTTGTCTTTAATCTAGACTACATTAACTACTAACCAGCATCATTCCAACATGCCTGTTGGAGTTCTACCAGAGGCCACAATGCTGTGGCTCTAACCGGCTTGTCTCCCTTCCCTCTTCAGCTGGCTGAGTGACAGGGAGCTCCAGCATGCCTGATAAGACGCTGTTAGCAACAGCCGCTGGGTCTCTCCGTCTTTGCTTCCTTACTGTAGGCCTCATTCCTTTTATGCCCCAATGCCAAATTAGCTGTAACCAATGACCCACTTCAGCAAGTTCGGCAACTTTGTTTTACTTTTGCCATTTGATCAGGCAAGAAGGAGTTTTTGTTATCGCTATACATAATATTGCAAAGAAACAGCCATAAACTATGATCAGGAACACATAACCATCCTCATAACATGATTCACTCTAATCTACAACGACAGCAGAATCCAGTGTTGGGAACCAAGGCATTGACAGTGGGTCATGGTGGCACTTGCTAGGTCCGTTTGGTTTAAGGATGCCAAATCTCCAGTAAACACTGAGAGACAGGCAGATTTATATCACTGCTATAGTGTCACTGCCAGCTCTGGATTCACACACTGACAGTCAGATATAATCTGCAAGAGAAAAGCTCAATGCCAAATGCCACAGACAGGTCTGCAAGAAGTCAAAAGTAAACTGTTTCTGCGAGTGTGCGCACAACATTCAACACAGAGATACAAATCTATACACAGAGCCACAATTGGCCGAAAGGGGACGTTTCCAGGGTTTACAAAATAAATTCCAGTGCGCAATGATAAAATGAGACAAGGCAAACAGGAACACAAGAAGTGCTTCTTCACAACAATGAGAAACTCACAACAGGAGTCTTTCTCTCCGATGAACATCCTTGCCTGAGCTAGGACCATCTGTGTTATGCCGGCAGTCTGGCACAGAAACATAAATGTGGGGGAGCTGGGAGAGGGAGGAAAGGGGCAGGGGGGGTTTGGAGATAGAAAAAGAGAGAGAGAAGGAAAGAGACCGAACGAATAAACATAGAACCAGATTAACATTTCTAGGCAAGAAAGCTATGTGACCACTGGAAGGAGGAAACACTGTGGAAAATCACAGAGTCATATCTCCTGCTCCACATCTTCCACAGAGCCCCTCTGTCTTCTACCACAGTTCACTGAGCTGGGTAAAGCTGGCATTATCTGCATGCAACACTGAAGAGTAAACAATCCCAACACAGGCATACAATCTTTACTTTAAAGTCTTTGGGTGCAGTCTTAAGACTAGTTGATACCTGTTCTGCCTTGCACCGTGCTGTTGAACATGACAGAGAAGATCTGTTGTTATTGTGGTCAGCGTGGGTTTTGAATTGGACCATCAGGCTTTAAAGTGACTCTTAAGTGACTCAAGACAATATAAAGCATGCTGGTAGGTCCCACCAACGCTACAACATGAACATTTATCTTTAAGAAAGTCAATAAAGCATTTAATCACTCGCTAACAACGAATCCTCTGGCTGAGCTTAGTACACCTACTCAGATAAAGGATACGTTTGGTGCTCACTATCTTACAATAAGGCAACTTTGTCCAAAAAGGCTTAACTTAAAATGTGATTGTGGCTTTGTGAACAACAGCAGCATTATTGAAATATCCATAAGGACTAAAGCTAAAATGATAAGTTGACTAATCTTCTGTCAATTTGATAATCATTTAGCACGACTCCTGACATTTCCCTGTATGTGATTTTTATTTTTGCTGTTGTAATTTGTTGTCTTCTGTTTGCTATTGTAGTAAAGTGTTTGTATTGCATGTACAGCACTTTGGCTCGACCAAAAATCGTTTTAAAAATGTGCTATATAAATAAAACTTGATTTGATTTAATTCTTTGTGTCATTTTGAATGAAATTGACTATTTCTTGATTTTCAAAATGTGAATATTTGTGGTTTTCTTGGTCTTTAATGAAAGCAAACAGTATACATTTTCAGTTTTAGAAGGACTCTGTTCAACAAACGAAACATCTGAAGTCGCTTACTTTCATTTGTATTATCAATTATTTTAGCAGCATGTTCAATTATCAAAATATTTGCTAATTCTTTTTCCGTTACTAGATGTTTTGTTAATCAACAAATGGTTGCAGCTGTAATAGATAACATATGTCAATACCCAATAAAGAAAATATCTTAGATAAGCACTCAAATGTACACCTATTAAGTTTCACGTTTACAGATCTGCCACACTTTAGTAGTCTGACCTTTTTCAGCACCACTCTAGTAGATTAATTGTTAGTTTTATAAAAGGCGGGATTAATTCACGCAAGATCACAAGGACTTCTCAGTAAGCTAAAGAACCAGAGAGCACTTTGACGCAGATTGATCAGGTCAGCACAGGGTTCTGCTTATCAAACCGTTTTAATGGAAGACTGTGGGCTTAAAGCTACAACATATGAAACAGCTACTAAATGAGAACCCTGATTGTGATAAAAGAACATTTCTGTTGTGATTAAAATCTATTATTGAGTGTCTGCTAGAGGGAGTTTGAATGTGACACTAGGGGAGAATAAAATATATAGTAAATTGCTTCCTGCTTCACATCCTATCATCCGCTTGCAGCTCAGTGTTATCAAGTTGGGGGAGATCTGGGATTGCTCACTGCTACAATCAGTCTGCATGACATCACCCACGTGAAGTCATCATGTCTGTCAGAGTCAGCACTGCTGTATCTTTACTCATTCCTAGCCAATGTTATCTTCAAAGTCCTCACCAGGGATGAGGTGCGTCACTGCCTTACAAAAGCAGTTTAAGTTCTTTCAATGCATTCTTAAGTCCCAGATGTTTTCAGAACCATAGGAATTAGTATTCACGGAGGCCACAGGACCGCCACACTGTTCACAGCATGCTACAGCGCACTTTAGCTGCTTCCTGTCTATCTGCCTAACTCCTGTTGCACAGGGGGAGGCAGAGAAAAGCACGGAGGAAGACACAACCATTGTCCAGCCCTGTCCACTTCAATAACTTCACCAGTGCTCTTACAGCTGAGCAAATCACTAGAATAAAAATGAAGGATGGGTTGAACTGTTGGAAATGAATCCTTAACCATTTTAATCAGAACGGTGAAAGAACTAATTAAAGAAGACGTTTTCTTTCTTTAAGGGGGCCAGTCATGCCTACTGTAGTCCCCCTTAAGCCTCCTGGGAGAGAGAGGTAGGAAATCTCCACTGCAGTCTCCAAAGAGCGGGAGATAATTAGTTAATAGCTTTTGCGAGACAAAGCTGGTGACTTTCTTGTGTCTGTGTAACATAAGACAAGGTAGAGAGACACGCCTTGTGCATTTGCTAAACTGCTGATCACTCAACTTCAGTGGTGATATGCGTCCCCACGTCTGCAGCTAATGCTTGTCAATCACTTTCCCTGTGTAAACCATTTCAACTTTAGTGGTAACCCATTTGCATCTTATTAGGATCCCTCACGAGGCTGCTTGACAGCTCCCTGAAGAAATCACCATTATGCTAACATCATGTGTGAACCTTCACCTACAGAGAGAAGAGCAAAGAGAGGGGGCTTCCTGCGGTAGTCAGGCATTCATCCACTAATATTGATTGCCAATTGAGAAACAAATTGTGCATTGCTTGTAGAGTATAAGAATGTGAAGACCGTTTCTGCTTTTGTCTCCCATGCCCGAATGCAAAAATAAGCCATTAAAAAAGGATGTTATATGTGGCTCATGAATATGCTTTTTCTAGCCTTTACTTAAACTGAGTGTATGATTGGGTGTCACAGACATGTTATATTTAGTACTTTACCTGCAGCTCACACCAGGCAACTTCCACCCAGGTCTCCGTATCCAGGCCCTTGTAGACAGTCTTGAAGGAACCTCTCCCCAGCTCTATGTCAAACTTCAGGAATCTTCCTCCTGGAGATGTGGAGACTGCTTTCATCTCTGCCTCCTCCTCGTTCTCCTCACTGGATGCCTTGATAACAGCTTTACCACCACCATTGCATGTGGGATTTAAGGAATCTCCACCTTTCTCCTTCTCCTCATCCGCACTGGCACTTTCTGTTGCACTGTCTTTATGCCCACCTTGACTTTCAGTGCTGGAACCTTCCTGTATCCCACTGGTCCCCCGCGTCCTGTCCACTATTGTCCGCAGGTTTATGTTTAGGATCTTATTCCTGTTATCACATTCAGGTGCTTCAAAGGTCTGCTCATCTGCGTCCGAGAACCACAGACTCCTCCTGATAAATCTCTGATGCACATTCCTTTGATAACTGGACGCACTGGGGTCACTCACCCCCCTCCCTACTGAGTCCACATGGTTGACTTTGCCATCACCCATGGTCTCATACATATTTGGGGCCAGTTCACGCTGAGAGTTGGATACAGAGGGGTATTGTAATTCTTGGTGGACCTCTGAGTATGAATTAGGCTCCATGGTGATTTCAAAAGTTCAGTCACTTTGGTTTCCAGTTCATTCGTGCCATGGCTAGACTTCCCAACGTGCAGAGCTAGAGATGAATACCTGCAGCGCCCACTCGGTGACGCAGTTTGCCAGCCGAGGCCCCTAACGACAGTGGGATGGATGATAGACGAGATTGCATCCGATATAAAGATCTGCAAAATAAACGTGTAGCAGAACTTGAAACAAAATCAAACATTTCCTGGTGTTTAGGGGAAAACTAAAGATACATATATTGAATTTATGGATGTCAGACATTACGGAGTTTAAGTTTGTTGATGTCAAATAAGCAGGTGGATAAAAAAAGAGACCAGCCCACGAGTTTAAAACATTTATTTTAGCAGGAGCCATTAACGGCGAGGGAAACGACAAGCTAACTGGCTCTGACGTCACAAGTTAACGTTAAGTTGATTCAGAACTAACGTCTGTTGCTAATATACCGTAATATCTCAGGTAACAACGGTTAGCTACAACATTAAATGACACTGAACAAAGATGGGACACGACTTACCTAGGTTTAAAAAGCGACCAAACAACCTCGGCTACACTCTCGTTAGCTTTCCACGACACATACGGACCTGTCAGATGTTAGAAAAGCCCCGCTAACGTTAGCAGACTGTCCATTGCGTTTCAAAGGTGCACTTTAAAACGCCCTATCTGCATAGTGTCCACGTTTTCACGTAAACAGGCAACCCCAAGGGTAGCAAACAAATCCGGGTCCAGCTCAATCTTTGCTAAGTGATCAAAAACCCCATATTGACGATGAAAAAAGACGAATATGTTGTATTTATGTCCTTTTAAATCCTCGCATCCTTTTCCTCGGGTGCAGCTACAGCAGCTCACGATGCCTCTCCATGGTGCCTGCTGTATGCGGAGCGAGTAGTTAAACACCAGAAAGGCCGCTTTAAGACACGGGAGATTTCTGTGTGACTACCTCCCCTCGGTAATTAATTTAAGTGGACAACAGTTTTTCGCTTGCTACCCATTAGGTTAATACAACGGTAAGGCTCACAAATGTGTTTCCCATTCAGCTGCTCGCTTGGCTCCACGCCCCTGGTAACGACTGGAGGGACCGTCCAATCACAGCACGCTGGGACACCACATTAGACCCCACTCATCTGTTCAGAGTGACACATAGCTCACATACAAATACTTATTTAAAGGCGGTCTAGAATCAATTCAAGTGATTGACAAAGCGGATAAATGATTATTCTTTCTAAAAGCCTGTTATCGTCTGTGTACATGTATTTAATTTATCTCACGCCCTTCACCAACTCATCCAATCCCGTGTCTCTGCCTCTCACTCAGAGCTCAAAAGCCTGCTGTACAATACTTTTATAGGGATCTAATTTTGTAGTGGGCAAATATATTTAAAAAAAACCTCTATGTGATTATGCTGTTCATCCAACAGACAATGCTTGCACTTCCCCTACACTTTGTTTTGCAGCTCAATTTGTCAGAGGTGCAGCTGAGGTGCAGTAGCCTATACCGCACGCACGGCGTGATGAGCAGCAGCAACAGGGGAAGTGGGACTGAGGTAAGACATCCGAATCGATTTTTTTTTCAGAGAAGGGAAATCCTGTGTTGTGCTTTATTATGCTAAATGTGAATACATTTTACATACTGGTATAATAACAGGTGGGTTGACATTAGAGAAGCCTTGATGGATTATTTTCTGCCCATAAAGGTTTTTATTCTTGTTTTTTGCAAACTGCATCCAAAACCATCAATAGTGCAATCCAACAAGTGCCACAAAGGTGCTGAAAGACATACCTGTAAAAATGGAATTATATGCAGCAGTCATGAATAGCAACATTGTCAAACTTACATGGTCATATTATTGTGAATGCCACTTCTGTCCTGTTCTCATATTACATGTCATCTATCAAGGGGGGATGGGGTTATACCGGGTTATCCATACACTTTACAGATTAAAAACGATGTGTGTACACTCGGAAATAAATGAATAAAATAAAACACTTAAACATAGATCTTAACATCTGGTGCAGGCATGGAAGGTCAGATGACAGTCCAGTTCAGTCCAGGAGTGAAGCATTGTTGGCACCTGAAGTGCCCTAATAAATAGTGAATGCCCTTCTTTGTTTCCACTTCACTGGCCAAATTGCTCAAACAAACACATGCACTCTCAGAGTTTACTTTTATATAATGTCACTCTGCTTCATGCCACAACAAGAGTTCTAATGGGAGGCTGTGGCTCAGTGGATAGTGTGCTGGAATTCGAATCAGGCAAGTTTGAGTCCCCCAGCAGTCAGCATGTCGTTGTGTCCCTGGCCAAGACACTTCACCCCAAAGTGCTCCTGTGGGGATTGTCCACAGTCCTGAATGTTTGTTAGTCGCTTTGGATAAAAGCGTCTAACAAATGACCTGTAATGTAATGTAATGCATGTTGACATAAAGCAAGCGGTCTTAACCAGTTGTCGGTCCTCTCTTACTTCAGACTTGAGAAATTATAGGCTTTTCTTGTTGACAATGTTGCAGTAGTCACACCAACACTTTAACCTTTGCTTGGTTGGACACATTTCACTTTCATCTTTAACAAGAAGTGAAAAGAAAACAATTAAACTCTATAAAAAGTAAGGTGGAGATGCTGTTTGCCTTTAGCAAACATTGCGGGCGTTCCGCCATTCCTCACAAATAATAGATTAACTACTAACTACTAACTATCTAGCTATTAGTTTTACCGACCACTTTGATCGCCCTTAATGCTTACTTTCTCTGATAAACACTCTGATAGCAGCTATCACTGTGACCAGCATTATTATAGTTTTAGAAATGTAAATTGTTCCTTCATGTCAGATAGCTATTCTGTCCTCTTTAAGCTCATGTACAGTTTAGCGTCACCAATGGTGGATATATCAGACTTTGCCGAATCCTGCAGGCCTTCCAGAGCAGAACTAAACCTTTTCACTATTTCTGTATCGGTTCTTGGAGGTAACAAATCATTTGTAGCTCAAGATTCTGTCTATCGTGGCCTGAAGATTGTGTGACACACTTGGGTAGTTTCTTTTCATTTCTCACCATTTTGAGTATTTCTCCTTTTGTCAATCCACCATCTTTATCTAAATCTGAGCAGCGTTGAGCATGTCAGAAACTATAGTCTCAAAACCAATGGCCCATGAAGAGTGTTTTCACGAATAAGGCATTACTAACACAGATTGCCTTTCCTCACCGAAACCAGTGTCAACTCTGATGCCACATCAGGGAAGGAGATGAGCGACGGATACGAGGGGACATACGGAGGTAAAGGCGAAGGGAAAGTCCGCAAACACCATCGCAGGTCCACCCGCACTCGCTCTCGGCAAGAGAAGATTAACAGGCCAAAGCTCAGCATGCTCAATGTGGGTAACCAGAACAAGAATACACTGTTTAAGATCATTGAAACAAATGATGTGCAAGTGGACAATGTATTGATTGTGTCTGATCTTGTTAAAGGTGTGCAACACTGGCGATAAGATGGTCGAGTGTCAGTTGGAAACTCATAACCACAAAATGGTTACTTTCAAGTTTGACCTGGATGGAGATGCACCGGAAGAGATTGCCACGTACATGGTATGTAAGAGACGGAAACTGCCACCTAAACTGATGCAACGGTTTCTGTAGTATGCTGCAAGTTTACTTAAATAGTTTTTAATGGCTTAGAACTCATATTGATAGATACATTAATATTTATGTCATAACTTCTTCACCAACTGTATATGTACCGTATATTATAGTTGTTCTGGGGAAACGCCTACTTGTTAAACTTAGCAGTAAGTTTAACTTCTATGATATGAAACCCTAAGAAACAGAAATACTGCAAAAGTACTCCGTGGATTTTCTTGGGGCCTTTTTATTGAGACCATATCTGGAATTTCAATCAGTTTTTTTACTCTGTACAAGGTTGACGAGGTCCCCCTCCTAAATGCTTTTTTTTTTCTCCTGAAGAATTCTTAGACATCTGCTGTTCCTGGCAAAGTTTTATTTCAAGCATTGCTTTTTAAACTAAGTTCTGTAATATTCTTTTGCCCTCTTCTCCATGTTGCCCCTCAGGTGGAGAATGATTTCATCCTGCCTTTAGAAAAAGAGATGTTCATTGAGCAGCTGAAGGACATTGTGGACAAGGCTGAGGACATGCTGAGTGAGGACACCGAGGGCGAGAGGAACTTTGACCACGGAGGCAGTCCCAAACAGAGTGAAGGCTCTGTGGGAGCAGAGGTGAGAGAGGATCTGTTGGCAGTTAATAGTTGCGATGGCACAATCTGTCGCCTGTGCCTTTGATACATCATCCTGACAGCACTCTCAGGATGACTTTGCATGCAACGCTGACAACAAGAGCTGCCAAAAATATCACCCCTGCTGATGTGACATTTTGATCTAACTGAATTAGCTTTTGAGGCTCAGCCCTCACCTGCATCAGATCAATGTAGTAATGCTTTCTTTTCTTTAGGGATTGAAGGCTTCTGCACCAAGCACACCACAGCTGGTGTACCAGCAAAATGGTAAGAACTTTAGCCACCTGGAACTTATTTATTCACTCAAAGAAAATCCACTCACACTTTTCAAATCCAGCGTGGCTCTGTTTAAATGTCTTAAGTCAAAAATAAGGCATTTAGTGGTTTTAAAATGTTTCAAATCCATCTTTCAAAAGTCTTCCCAAAGATTGGAAGTAAGATTGTATCTCTGCCAATCTACAAATGGTTGATAACATCTATTTAAACTGTCTAATCTTCCCTGGACATCCGATTTATTAAGAGGCCTGTGACGATTTATTGAATGCATTTTAAAGTACCGTAATTTTCGGACTATAAGCATACCTGAAACGTACACACTGTATCCC